GAGTCACTGTAATTATTAAATGCAGTATAATGTATTAATGGAAAATGGAATTACAAGTTAATAAATAAGTAAATTTTTTTATCTGTACCTGTATTAAAAGTTCTACTTGTACCTGTACCCACATATGTACCTGTAATTACCTATACTCGTACCTGTCGTGTACTTGTATTTGACTATTCCTACATCTATTTACCTGAATATATACCTGTACATAACTCAGTCAAACTCTTCAGCCCAAATTATTTACTGTTTTTTATTATAATTTTCAATCTAAAACAAAACAAAATATATTATAATTGATTTTTTTTTTTACGTTTTCCATTTTTTATCATTGTAAATAAATCAACTTTAGTTCATTATTTTCTTCCCCATTTACTTTATGTTTCATCTTTAAGTTGTAAAGTCTCTCGGTGTTTACAAGTACTATAAAGTGTGTATAAAAACAGGTGTGTAATTCTTGACTCTTACATAAATCTGCATTTGTTTATCAGTTTAATTAAATTAGCACAGGTGGATGGGGTGAGGGGGTGAGGTATGGTCCTAGGCCTCAGGTGGCGGTAAACACCTGTACTGTACTGCCATCGTCTCTTTGTATCTCTGTATCCAAACAAGATAATTTTTCTTTAATGTTTTTTTTCTTGTTACTTTATCTTGATTTATATTGTTTAAGAGAAGTTGTTTGATTTAGTGAATAAGAGAAAGTTACGATATATAGTGAAAGTATTTTATTTATATTGAGAAAGTTTTTATTTATAGTGAAAAGGGGAAATTTTTTTTTTATTTTCACTATTAATATTAGATCAAATTAGAGATTTATTTACCTGATTTATATAAACGATTTATATTGTTTTTTGTTTTCGTTTTTCTTACAGTATTTTATTCGATAAGAAGATAGGTGTACTTGCCTATTTTTATTATGGTTGAGGAATTGTACTTCCCTTCCTTTATTCCACTTAATATTACTTTCCTTCGTCACTTTCGCTCGTCGTATGGCACTACCTAGGTCTTATTGAGCTACTTCCTCCCCCATTTCTACTACTTTCCTCCTCTCTCTCCTTTCTCCTTTTCTCTTCTACTTCCCCTCCCCTCCTCTCCTTCTCCTCCATCCCCTCTTCTCTCCCTCTTCCTCTCCCCTTTCCATCCCCTCTCCACCTCCCCTCTCCACCTCCCCTCTCCTCCTCCCTCTCACCTCCTCGCCATCACCATAACAACACGAGCAGATGTAAACACAGGTCCCCGTAATAAAGTTTTTAGAGAGGGAAGCGTGTGTCATGTATCCTCCTCCCTTCCTTCCCTCCTCCTCCTTCCCTCTTCCCTCCTCCTCCTTCCCCTCCTCTTCCCTCCTCCTCTTCCCCCTCCTCTTCCCTCCTCCTCCTCTTCCTGTATGGCCATAAAAGCATTTTACACCTAAAAAGAGACAAATTACGCCACTTTTCATTTCGTCTGCACCTAAAGATGTTCCCTTTACGGCCGACCCTGCCAGTCACACACACACACACATACTCTCTCTCTCTCTCTCTCTCTCTCTCTCTCTCTCTCTCTCTCTCTCTCTCTCTCTCTCTCTCCTGTTTTTCCTGCTTTACCTTCCCCCCTTTCTCCCCTTCCATCTTCCTTCCCTTTCCCCTCTCCTGCCCCTTCCTTCCCTTCTCCCTCCTCCTGCCCCTCTCAGCTCGGCAGTGTTGAATCAGAACCAGATCGTATCAAAAGGGATCTCGCTAGCTGCTATAAACTTTAATGATAATAATAATAATAATAATAATAATAATAATAATAATAAAGGTGAAAGCATTAGTATGATGATGTGTTTAACGACGTCACGGGTAATAAAAACGTCTGTAAACGTCTTTGTAAACGTATCTTAAACTAATTACCTCTGCTATGACGTATGTATTCCTCGTCTAATATCTACAAGTTTGAAACCTTCAGGAATATCAATAGAAACTAAAAAATACTAAAAACAATAAGAATAAAATTTTCTACTGACGTTTTTATGCCATTCGAAATTTACAAACATTCAAAATAATAATATTACCAAAACACACATAAGTTATACGGTATATATATATCAGAAAATTAATTAACCTAACAAATGCATAACACTCTGCCGCCTCCTGAACGTTGCATTAAACGTTTCCAGTCAATGAAACGTTGGCAGCTACAGTCCCTCTCCCCCTACCAACCAACCCCTTTCCCCTACCAACCAATCCCTCCCTTATCAACCAACCAATCCCTCCCGTACCTACCAACCAGCCCCTCCCCTACCTTCCAACCAGCCCCTCCCCTACCAACCAGCCCCTCCCCTACCAACCAATCTACCCCTCCCCACTCAGGAACGTCACTGCCTTAACAAACGTTTTACAACCTTCCACTACCAACCAACTTCCCCCCCTCCCTCTATCTCTCTCCTCCCCTCTTTTCCCTCCCCTTCCTTTCCCCTTTCCTCTTTCACTCCTACACCCTTCCCCTTTCTCTCCTACACCCTTCCCCTTCCTTTCCCCTCTCCCCTCCCTCTGTCCCCTCCTCTTTCCATCTCACCTCCCTCTCTTCCCCTCTCCCCCTACCCTGAAAAACCTTATCTAACAAGACCGGCACTTGGGAAGACCCTCCCTATGCCCTGGTGTAAAAATTTTCACAGCTTTTTAAAATCCATGCTTAATATATTCAAATTGGTCGCATTTACCGCCCCCCTGAGAGTCGTTTAGGTGCCATTCAATTTGGGGGTCGTTGGGCCTTGTGACGAACTTCTGCATTTTTGGGCCAAATTCGGGTTGTTCTAAATTGTGTTTGTTAGTTAGTTGCTATTTAGCGTTGAGGGGGAAAAAGAGAGGAGGAGGAGAAGGAGGAGTTAGGGAAAGAGAGGAGGAGGAGGAGAGGTGTGGGATTGGTGAGGAAGAGGAGGAAGAGTTAGGTAAAAGGAGAGAGGAGAAAGAGGAAGACAAGGAGGAGTATGGGATAGGAGTAGTGGAGAGGAGTTAAGGAAAGGGGGAGTGAGGAAGGGTGTGAAAACGGATCAGTGGAGGAGTAGGATGTGAGATAGGAGAGGAGGAGGAGGGAGAGTAAGGTAAAAGGAGAAAGAGTAGGAAGAAGAGGAGGAGAAGGTGAAATGATATGGGATGAGGATAAGGAGGTGGAAGTGGTTTGGTATATAAGAGAAGGGCGAAGAAGAAGAGGAGTGGTGTAGAGGAGAATAGTGACAGAGAAGGAAAGATGGAGAGAAACTAATGAGGAAGAGAGAGAGAAGTGATATATAACTTAACTTCAATACAAAAATAAAATGCATTATTCAGATTTCAGTGAAGTTTAATATTAATGAAATTCAGACTTAAGGATTTTTAACATGACTGAATTTCAGGAGTAAATTGGTAAATAAAAACATGTAAGAAACTGTATTAGAAATATATTATATGTTTACTTTATTACGACCACTAAAATTTATTCTCATTCCGAAATCTAGATTTTTTTTTTTACGGATGACAAAAAAAAATATATCGAAATTATAAGAAAATATTCAGATCATCAGAAAGTTATGAAAAATTGAAATGAAAAATCAGTGAAAACTCGAACCAAATTATAAACAAAAATGAACAAAATTCATAAAGACGAAAAGAAAAGAAATTTACGTGTTTTTGGTGTAAAATATTAAAATAACTGGACAATCAGGACGAAAATAAAATAAAAGTAATATTTTCAACATCCAGGACGAAAAGTGTTGGAAAATTATCGTCCAGAGTTAGAACGAAACAATACGATCTCCCGAAATTAAAAGAAAGCTCTCTGGAGGGGAGGGGGTGAGGAGGAAAGGTGTGGTAGGGGACGAGTGGGGAGGGGAAGGGAGAGGGAGAGGTACTGGGAGGAAGGGGTTAAAGGGAGGGGAATGACGGTAGTGAAGTGGGAAGGATAACAAGAGGAAGAGGGTATCATTGGAGTGAGGGAAGGGAAGTGGAGTGGAGTTGCGGGGTGAGGGAAAGTGAGGATAGAGGAAGAGGTGGTGAGGGGGGAGGGGAAACGAGGATAGGGGAGGGTAGGCGAGGAGAGAGGAAGAGGAGGCGAGGAGAGAGGAGGGGAGAGGAGAGGGAAGGGACCGCTTTACGGGTAACTGGTGCCGTCCAATCTTTGCATTAACCCTTTCGTTATGGCTCTCAACTCCCACGAGACGACGACATTTAGGGGAGAGAGAGAGAGAGAGAGAGAGAGAGAGAGAGAGAGAGAGAGAGAGAGAGGTCATTGCACTTGACACTAGAGCAAGTAGCAATACACATTATCATAGTGTTATTAGCTAGTGAGGGAAATATTAACAGTTAACATAGCTAAGTTAATATGTTGAATGAGTGATGGAGATGAATGGGTTTTTTTCTCTAATTTTGTGTATTTTGGTGAACTTCTATACTCATCACTCACTCACTCACTCACTCACTCACACACTCTCTCACTCACTCACTCACTCACTCACTCACTCACTCACACTACACAAGAAAATCAAATAATAATAATAATAATAATAATAACACGACCAATATTTTGTTATCTTTATTTAGTGTTATTTTACTCTATTTAAAAGTTTGATAATCTTTTCACCAAACTAAGACGACAGAAGAAGATTAATAGACAGAGATAGACAGCCAAAATAAATAGGCGACGGAAGATGAATTGACAGGCGACAACTTAATGACAAAATGAGTTGGCAAAATTGAAAGAGAAAATTGATTCCTCTTATAAAAATATAACTCAAATGTTTTACCTACACGAAAGAAATAATCTATTTTGATATGTTTTACGAATTTGTGATAAAGAGATCTGATATATTACGTACATAAGACAAAAACAATAAAAGTCGGGAAAAAAAGAGAATCGGACGTTGGAGAAACAAAAGAGAATCAGACGTTGGAGAAACAAAAGAGAATCGGACGCTGGAGAAACAAAAGAGAATCGGACGCTAGAGAAACAAAAGAGAATCGGACGCTAGAGAAACAAAAGATAATCGGACGTTGGAGAAACAAAAGAGAATCGGACGCTGGAGAAACAAAAGAGAATCGGACGTTGGAGAAACAAAAGAGAATCGGACGCTGGAGAAACAAAAGAGAATCGGACGCTGGAGAAACAAAAGAGAATCGGACACGTTGGAGAAACAAAAGAGAATCAGACGCTGGAGAAACAAAAGAGAATCGGACGCTGGAGAAACAAAAGAGAATCGGACGCTAGAGAAACAAAAGAGAATCGGACGCTAGAGAAACAAAAGATAATCGGACGTTGGAGAAACAAAAGAGAATCGGACGCTGGAGAAACAAAAGAGAATCGGACGTTGGAGAAACAAAAGAGAATCGGACGCTGGAGAAACAAAAGAGAATCGGACGCTGGAGAAACAAAAGAGAATCGGACACGGGAGAAACAAAAGAGAATCAGACGCTGGAGAAACAAAAGAGAATCGGACACGGGAGAAACAAAAGAGAATCAGACGCTGGAGAAACAAAAGAGAATCGGACGCTGAAAAAACAAAAGACAGTGGACACTCCCTGCCTGGCGCTGTGTCTGTGGTCGGTTTATCCTAGCAAGACAACTTTAGACAGCTGGGGCGTCTGTATCCCCTCCCTGCCACCAATTTCTATTAAAAACTTCTCAAAGAGCCATTTTTAAGGCCTCAGTTGACAAATCCATTACGGTGAAACCATCTTTCATTTTTAAATCCCCGCGGTGAGGATAACGGGGTGACATGATCCCCTTATTTTCACAGGAATGATAGCAGGGGGTGGTCGCGTTTTCTTTTTGGGTCATACGATTTTTCAGGATATTTAGTTTCTGCCATAAATGTGAGTTTGACGCTGTTGGATCTCGATAATTCTTACAAAAATGAGGGAAATATTTGACAGAATTTGTTCCCTTTAAAGATAGAGTAACACGTAGAGAGATAAATGGATATTAGATATATATTTTTTGTTAAGTATTCAGGCGACGACGAGACGCCATAACTCATAGTTTCTGATGGTTTTACATATTGACATCCGAGTTAATCGTCGCCACGCGTTCGAAACTGTGACTGAAAATATTCCTCTCCCACATTACCAAATAAAAAAAACTAATGAATTATGAACAAATACAATAATTCCTACGTAATTTAACAGTATAAATATATTTCTACAAAGTGTTTACCTACCATCATAATCTAGTTTAGGTCTTTTGGAATTTTTGAACTGGACCGGTAATCTAAGGCAGGGATCGGGACGCGGGATTATAAAAATGATCTATCTACATTTAGAGTGACACTACTGCTCATCCCTGGGTCTGAGTCTCGTATTATTACATGCTGTCGGCACCAGGCAAGCGATGGCACCAATTTGCATATATTGAGCGTGGATGAAAGAATGGTTAGGGTTCACCCCTCTCTCTCTCTCACTCTCTCTCTCTCTCTCTTTTATATCCCTCACCACCTCACTCCACCACCCCTCACCACACCCCTCACCCACACTTCTCCACACCCCCCTCACCACACTTCCTCGCCACACCCCCTCACCACCCACACCCCTCACCACAGTCCCTCACCACACCCCCTCACCACACCCCATCACACCACACCCCATCACACCACATCCCTACCACACCCCCACACCATACTCCCTCACCACACTCCCTCACCACACACCCTCACCACACCCCATCACACCACACCTCCACCACCTCCCTACCACACTCACCACACTCCCCACCACATCCCCTCACCACCCCTTCACCACACTCCCTCACCACATCCCTCACCACACCCTCACCACACACCCCCACCACACCCCATCACACCACACCCCATCACACCACACCTCCACCACACCCTCACCACCTCCCTCACCACACTCCCTCACCACATCCCCTCACCACACCCCTTCACCACACCCCATCACACCACACCTCCTTACCACACTCCCTCACCACACTCCCTCACCACACTCCCTCACCACAGTCCCTCACCACACCCCCTCACCACACCCCTTCACCACACTCCTTTAGGTGACCTAATTATGGTAATTTGAATTTTATGGTAACACGAATGGGCGTCATCACAACAATATTCAGTTGTTCCTCCGCATACACTAAGGTTAGGTTAGGTTAGATTAGGTTAGGTGAGGTTAGGTTAGGTTAGATTATGTTAGGTTAGGTTAGGTTAGGTTAGGTTAGGTTAGATTAGGTTGGATTAGATTATGTTAGGTTAGGTTAGCTTAGATTAGGTTAGGTTAGGTCTAGCATTTGGCGTTTAATCATCAGGTAAATTAAAGTTAGGTTGTCTTAAGTCTTCACATTGATCAAATATGAAATAAACAAACAAATTAAAAATAACGAAGACAAAATCCCCTTCCTTCCTCCTTCCCTTCCCCTCTCTCCCCTTTCCTTTCCCCCACCCACCCACCTCTATCCTTCCTCTTCCTCCTCTCCTCTTCCCCAACCCTTCTCCTTCCACCTCCGCTCTTCCCCCTCCCCACTCGCCCTTCCCCACTCTCCTCAATTCTTCCTCTTCCCTTTCATCTCCTCTTCCCCCATCCTCCACCCCCTTTTCCTCCTTCTCCCCCTTCCTCCTCTCGTCTCCTCTTCCCTCCCCCCTCCCCCCTCCCTTCCCCTCCCTCCCCTACCCTCCCCTCCCCCCCTCCCCTCCTTCCCCTCCCTTACCCTTCCCCTCCCTCCCTACCCTTCCCCTTCCCCCTCCCCCTACCTTCCCCTACCCTTCCCCTACCCTTCCCCTCCCTCCCCTTCCCTCCCTCCCCCTACCCTTCCCTCTCTCCTCCCTCCCCTTCCCCCCTTCAGCCAGGCCAGCCACAGGGGTATGTAAGTATGTAACTTGTATCACCCTGGACCAACTTGGGCCACGCCGACCCTTCTCCACGACTTAAGAAGTTAGTCTGGGAGATGGATGGTCTCGTGTCATGCTAGAGGGGGGAGGGGGGTGTGGAGAGAGAGAGAGAGAGAGAGAGAGAGATAGAGAGAGAGAGAGAGAGAGAGAGAGTGTGTGTAAAAGATGGAGAGAAGGTGTGAGAGAGGAGAGAAGCAAGGAAGGGAGAATAGGAAAGAGTTATTCTTGTTATTATTTTATTATTATTATTATTATTATTATTATTATTATTATTATTATTGGTGTTGTTGTTTTGTTAGTAATTGTACATTTATTATCATTATGTGTGTAAGTTAAGCTCCATAACCTAACCACCTGAAGCTCTCCCCCTCGTTAACAAACTACCACACCACCACAAGTGCCTTAAGTTATCAGTTCACTTAACACTTATGGAGTCATTTCCTCACTTGTATCATCTTAAACGTTATAATGGAATCTGTTTCAGCAGGAGACTAATACGCAACTCATCAGGTCACCGCAACTGTTTATATATTAATAGTTGGTAACACAAAGGAGTACTCACTAAATAAAACCAATAATAATAATAGCAGCAACAAGAGTCAACCATTACTGACAGCCAACCACCATTGATATAATCCACTGTTTGTAATCACGTACGAGACCGAATTATCCTCATTGCCTCGAATAATTTGACGTATATATAATATTATTTTCTGAGGGATTATTAGGATGGCACATCGAGGATTATAGAACGATCAGTGAGTAATTACTAGCAGTGTGTGAGGCGACCATAGCTATTACTGGGAGTAAATTGGTGCAGGTGGAGGTGGGTGGTGGGAGGTGACAGGGAGGGGGGAGAGGGAGGGAAGGGAGGGAGGTGAGAGGATAGGAACGGGAAGGAAGGGGGGAAAAGCGAGGAGAGGATAAGGAGGGGCAAAGAGTGGGCGAAGGGAAGAGGGGGGAGGGGGGGGAAGATATGGAGATGGAGGAAGGGGGAAGGCGAGGAGAGGAAGGGAAAGCAGGTAGGGAAGATAAGAGGGAGGTAAAGGTGGGTGAGTGAAAGAGGTGGTAAGAGGGAGGGGAGGAAGGGGGGAAGGAGTAGGAGAGGGAGATAGAGAATGGGTATGGTAGTTGGGGACAAGGAGGGGGAGGAAGGAGGAAGGACGAGACAGGCAGGGGCAGAGATAGACAGAAGAAGAGACCGTAATGAAGACACAGACAGACAGACAGACAGACAGACAGGCAGACAGACCTCCCTACAGCGCCATCACAAGATTAATGTAGGTGTTAGGAACTTCATCAAGGCCATACCTGTTATTATCGTGACGTCATTAACTCAGGTATCTCCCCACCGTAATAAAACCAATGTGAGGAAACATTTTATCATAACTTCAGTGATGTAGCTGTAATGTGTTGTTAGTTGTTGTTGTTTCTGGCTGCCATTATCCACCCGGAGGAGGCAGGAGGCAGGAGGAGGAGGAGAAGAAGAGAGGAGGAGGAGAGAGGAGGGAAAAATATGAGGAGCAGGAGTTCGCTAGCAGGACAGCAGCAGTGTTAATAATAGCAGCAGCAGCAGCATCAGAACAGCAGGGATACTGAGAATAATAGCGACAGCAGTGGCAATAGCAGTAGTGACAATAGCAGCAACAGGACCTACCATCATCATAGTTGCATATAATGAAGGACAAACACTCAGGGTCAGGTTATACCAAGATCTTCGTCAGGTGATGGTCGCGTTCTCACAGGTAACACGAGGATGTTCAGGGCTCAGGTGTCGACCATGATGAACAATAACAACAAAAACAGACAGTCAAACAGAGACTAGACAGAGATAGATGGACAGTCACAAACAGACAGACAGACAGACAGACAGACAGACAGACAGACAGACAGACAGAAGATAGAGAGAGAGAAATATGGACAAAAAGACAGCCAAACAGAGACAGATGGACAGATAAACAGAGAGACAGAGACGCTACCCAAAACACACAACTATCTGTCACTGTTATACTTATAGTTGTGTAAATAACAATCTGGTACTCGGAAGATATTAAGCTGGAGCAACAGAGTGTGACGCAACCATCACCAGACAGTTACGTGCGCGTGACGTTAATGTGCGTGTGACGGCCGGTATTACCACCACTCCGTCACCCAGCGTCACAGGCAGGAGGAAGAGGAGGGGGGAGTGAAGGAGGAGGAGGAGGGCGGAGAGAAGGAGGAAGAGGAAGAAGTGGAGGGCGAGGAGGAGGAGGAGGAGGGAGGTGGGTGGGTGAGCGGCAGTCTAGTTGAAATTTGGAGATATTTAATAGTCAATACCTTCAAAGAGACAATGAGAGTCTCTCTCTCTCTCTCTCTCTCTCTCTCTCTCTCTCTCTCTCTCTCTCTCTCTCAAAGAAATCTTAATAACTATGAAAAATTTACAGGACTTCTCATATGTATGTGTGTGTGTGTGTGTGTGTGTGTGTGTGTGTAATGGTCAGTTGGTGCTCACAGACAGGTGTTGAGAGACTCCCTGTGGTGATGATGTTCAATAGATGGACCACGTCGTTAAGAGATGTTGCCATGGTGATTGTGGGTCTTGGTAGTAAACAACATGAAGACTTCCTGTCATATCTTTATGTTGGTCAAGTTGATAGCTCCTGTAAGAAAACTCTCTC